TCCCCCCTCTCCCCCCTTCCTTCCCGTTGACCGTATTCCCCCCTCTCTCCCCCCTTCCTTCCGTTGACCGTATTCCCCCCTCTCCCCCTTCCTTCCCGTTGACCGTATTCCCCCCTCTCCCCCCTTCCTTCCCGTTGACCGTATTCCCCCCTCTCCCCCCTTCCTTCCCGTTGACCGTATTCCCCCCTCTCCCCCCTTCCTTCCCGTTGACCGTATTCCCCCCTCTCCCCCTTCCTTCCCGTTGACCGTATTCCCCCCTCTCCCCCCTTCCTTCCCGTTGACCGTATTCCCCCCTCTCCCCCCTTCCTTCCCGTTGACCGTATTCCCCCCTCTCCCCCCTTCCTTCCCGTTGACCGTATTCCCCCCTCTCCCCCCTTCCTTCCCGTTGACCGTATTCCCCCCTCTCCCCCCTTCCTTCCCGTTGACCGTATTCCCCCCTCTCCCCCCTTCCTTCCCGTTGACCGTATTCCCCCCTCTCCCCCCTTCCTTCCCGTTGACCGTATTCCCCCCTCTCCCCCCTTCCTTCCCGTTGACCGTATTCCCCCCTCTTCCCCCTTCCTTCCCGTTTACCGTATTCCCCCGTCTTCCCCCCCACCCCTCTCTCCCGTTTACCCCGTTCCCCCTGCAGCCTACCCGCGCCATCCGGGGCTCAGCTCTGTCCGCAGCGCCGCGAATCGCCGCGTCGCGTCCAAATAGGTCTTTAACTCTCCAGGGACTATGCGGTACGTTCGCAGCTCGAATATCGGCGGGGATCTCGAACCGCCTGCTGACGTGGCAGCTGCTGATTGAGATGAAGTCGGCAGTGGCGCTTCCGTGGCAGCTTCAGATTGGCTGGCGTATCTTTGCGGCGTCGCGAACGTTCTCCTCGCGCCGTGATTCGCGGGGGCTCCTAAGCCAAAGAAGAAACCTTCACCAGAGCCAAAGTCGGCGGGAAATACGGAAGGATCGCTGGAAAAACCGCCGACGGAAGATCTGCCGGAAAATGTGGCGGGAACAGCGGCGGAGGAAGCGAAGAGTTGGGATGTGAAGCAACTAAGAGCCTTTCCGCCTAGGCTGTGTACGAATATGTCTTGTCGTGACGTGGCTACTATAAGATCCGCTTTTGATCCACAATCATGCCACTCATGCGACGAGCTGCGACTCCCTGCTTGACCTGATCGCGCGCGTCCTGCGATCTCTCCCGCGCGTGCGAATGAGCCCATTCCTTTCGGAGTAGAGCTGTTACAGTAACTGCTTCTGAATTTAGTGCCACTGATTTTAGTGCTGTTACAGTAACCGCCGTGACGGAGAGGTTTCGCCAGCGTCGCCGCGACCTGGAAAAGACTCTTGGCCATTTCAGACCGCCTCGCTCGCCCTCGCCTCTTTCCCCTGACGAAAAAGGCCTCTTGATGTTGTGAGGCGTCTCCGAAAAAGGCCTCTTTCTTGGAAATTGCGGGGATGAAATAACGGACCCTCGGACGAAAGCCCGAGCAACGCGGATATTCCCGAGCTCGGCGTTGCTCGGGCTGTCTCGAATCGCGAATTCGCGACTATTTGACTGGTTTCTCGAATCGCGAATTCGTGAATATTCGACTACGGCTGGTCTCAGATCAAATCCACTATTTCTTACGAGGGTATGCCAAAAGGGTTCACATCGGTAGTTCGAATTGCGGTTTCCGACGGTTAGCTGGCAGGATAGAGCGGTTGAATAAGGCGTTGATCTTTCACATGCATGTTCAGTGTAATATTTCTCAAGCAGCAATACCAACAAAACAAATCAGACTGGAGAAGAAAAACAAGCAAACAAACAAACGAACAAAACATTTAGACATTCTCCAGCATTGCTTTTAAACCCTAGGGCACCTTCTCAATAGCGCTACAACCAAGATCAGCCAAAGGATTGAACCAGAGACCCTCCTCTAGTTCACCTATATCAAACAATGCACCATTGGCGTCTTCCGTGACGTTGCTCCGCATGGGAGACGACTCGCTTTCATTCCTCAACTCCACTTTGCCACCACCATTAATGACGCCCCTGGTGTCAAAAATATCCTCCAGCATTTCGTTTGCCGAGTCAAAATTACCACCTTCAGCACCTGGAAAGCCGGGCCCTCTTGCAGCTTCAACTGAATCGCTCTGTAGTAGGGACAAATCAGCTATTGCATTCAAAAAAAGAGCTGCTGATTCGTCAGCAGGAATGGTGGTGCAAGAAAGCTGAGCATGCGCACTTGAGCATCCTGCTGCAGCAACCTCCGTAAGTGGTAACCCTGTAACCACAGCAACAGCTGAATCCGCATGGTAACTGCTGCTGTCCAGGTGGTGGTGGAGATTCTGCTCGAAGTGGTTACCAAGAATCTCAGCCGTTACATTTGGCGGAGAGTGGCCTGATGCGAAGGGGACAGATGAAGGCTGAAAGCAGGTGAGCGGTGTCACATTTGTTGGTCTCTGAAAAAACTCGAAAGCGCGACCTGCTGCAAAAGCCAGAGAAGAGTTTTGACAACAGGCAGGCTGCGGCAAGACTGGTTCTTGAGAGTTCCCGAAACCAGGCTCCCGTGCCAGGCGCATAGATGCCAAAAGCAGTGATTGAGAACAGGTGGATGGAGGCAGGTTCAGGTGCTGAGCTGCTGTTGCGAGGAAGCCGTCTGGTGAAGCTGGTGCTGCCGCCGCCGCCATCGCTGCTGGTGCTGCCGCTGCCGCGACCGCTGCTGGTGCCGCTGCCGCTGCCACCGCTGCAGGTGCTGCCGCTGCCGCCACCGCTGCTGGTTCTGCCGCCGCTGCAGCCGCCGCCGCCGCCACTTCTGCTGGGGCCATGTTCAGAGATGAGATAAAACGTTGTGACTTTTGAGTCGACTGAAAAGTCACCTCCGCTGCTGCTGCTGGGGCTATGTTCAGAGATGAGATAAAACGTTCTACTGTTTCCTGCGCCGGATCGGTGGGCATGGAAAGAAGAGGGGGCCCTCCGGAGTTTGCTTCACCGCAGCTGCAGCAGCAGCGGCAGTGGGCGGGTTTCGTTGCAGGCATGGGTAACGGCTGGCTTGGTATGGGGGCGTGAGGGGAAGGTGTATATGGTGCAGGTGGATACGAGGCAGATGCGTATTGGAGGGGTGGATATGGTCTGGTTGCGGCATCGCATGCAGGAGGGGGTGATGGCTGATGTGGTGGCGGTTGCACGTAGGGTTGAGAGGATGGTGTCACTGAGAGAGGTAGGTGCTGATACTGATGCTGCTGCTGCTGCTGGTGGTGCTGCTGGTGGTGGTGCTGGTGGTGCTGCTGGTGGTGCTGCTGGTGGTGCTGCTGGTGGTGCTGCTGCTGCTGCTGCTGCTGGTGGTGCTGCTGCTGCTGCTGCTGCTGCTGGTGCTGCTGCTGCTGCTGCTGCTGCTGCTGCTGCTGCTGCTGCTGCTGCTGCTGCTGCTGCTGCTGCTGCTGCTGCTGCTGCTGCTGCTGCTGCTGCTGCTGCTGCAGGGTCTTGTATTGAGCATGGTAAGGCAGCTGAAACTGATGCAACCTTGCTTCCAAATCTTGGGCAGTGCAGGAGAAAACAGAAGCGTTGGTGAAGGGAGACGGATAAACAGGAGGAGAAGGAGCAGGGCTGGGAGAAGAGTCAGGGCAGGGAGCAGCAGCAGAGCGTGCGGGAGAGGGAGGAGGGTGAAGAGGAGGAGAACGGTGCTCTGGCTGAAATTGTACAGGGGATGCTTGTATAGGGGATGATTGGGGAGGAGAGCAGGCAGGAGATGCTGAAGCGGCCGGCTGATGAGGAGAAGCAGGTCTTGAGATATTATCTGTTCCCGTGGGAGCGGGAAGTGCCATTGCTGTTGGTGTTCCTGGTGCTGTTGGTGTTCCTGGTGCTGTTGGTGTTCCTGGTGCTGTTGGTGTTGCTGGTGGTGCTGCTGGTGGTGACGACGATTGTGTCGTCAATGAGGCAACTTCACAGCGCTGAGCAGCTGCGAAAAAAGGCTGTACTTCAAATCCTGGTGATTCTGAGTCTGGGGGTGGAGCAGGAGAGCTTGAGCCTGGAGTGTGGTGTAGCTCCAATCGGTTAGATTGCTGATGCTGAGGCTGAGGATGGTGGTGAGATTGCTCAGTAAATGTAGCATGCAGCTGGTGCTGTCCGTCGTTATTGCCATTATTAGGGTTGGCAGGGGGGATGAGCTGGCTGGGACCAGAAAATGCCAATGATTTGGAAGGGTTAGGAGTTTTAGCAAGTGAATTGGATGAAGCGATTTTGCTGTCTTGGTTAAAAATGTAGGCGTAAGGATTTCGCGTGTTGTCAGTGTAGCTGCGCGGCTTGTAACCAGCAGTAACACCGCATGAGTCGGGCTTATAGCCAGGTGTGTCGCCAGCTACAATTTTTGTCTTCGCGTCCAACGCATTCGCAGCTGCGGCGGCCTTCGCGAGCGCCATCGCAACCATGGGAAGTTTCCGAAACCCGTGGTTCGGCTTGCGACGGGACGCGGGGGTCGTTCCGTTATCGCCGCGTCCCAAAAAACTCGTTGACAATCCCGTCGCCAGTTTCGCCCGAAACGAACCATCCGTTTCGCAAACGCTCGGGGATGAGGCAGAAGGCGAGCTGGCGTGCGAAATCGTTGCGGGTAAAGAAGACACAGAGGAATTGTGTTGTGCCGGGCTGTGATTGTGTTCGCCGGTGAACGAAACATGGAAACTCGCTGGTTGCGTGTCGACGCGCCAATCGACGGTTCGTTTCGCACGGCAAGGCTCTGCTCCTGCCAAACCCGAACCCGCGCAGCGGAAGTACGACCTGGTCAGGGTGTTGAGAAAGGGGAAGCACTCAGTACACTAGAAATTGGTGGTAACTACAAAACATGTAACACTAAATAGCATGCTCCGGCCAAGCACAAAGCATTCCACAAAAGTATGTCCTAAAATGCACTTACCGCAGGCAATTAGGCTGGTTCATAAGCGGTTTCTCGCCATATTTCAGCCAAGAATAGCCATCCTCGGGTAGACAAGTTGGCACCAGCGCAGCGCGCAGCTTTTTTCCCTCCGCTTGACGAATCGCCTCGCTAGTGGTAATACTGTCGCCGCTGTTTCCGCCGCCTTTCACGGACCGCCTCCCCGCGCAAGTCCGTCTGCTGCTTCCCCTTCCGGTGCCCGTGCTAGATAAATGTGGAGAAGTGCAATGGGACGACTTCGGTTTCACTGCCACGAAATCAGTAGCCGCGCCGCCGTCAGTCGAGCCAGGTCGAGCCGCGTCGCCAAAAACCGTCGCAACAGAGAGCTGCGCTTCTCTAGATGAAAGATCTGTGCGAGGCTCCGTATTCCCGTACCCTTCATCAAAGTTCTTCCGCTTCATTCTTAACAGTGTTGACGTCGTAGGCACCACTCGCGCAGGATATGGAGCAGTCATCGCCCGAGTAGAGTTCACAGCGTCGTCGCAAATGCAGATGTCTTCCCACACGTCAGTCGCATTTCATCCCAAAAATCACGAGGCAGAAATCGCCTCGAGAAGTTCTCGTGACTGGTAGGCGCGTATCGATGACGAATACTTGGCCCAGTCCGAAACTATGACACGCTACTAACGACAGTTTGTAGGCGGGACCTTACGAGGGAAGTGGTGCCAACAGGAAGATCGTGAGCAAGTATCGTGAGCAAGTAACTCAGAAAGGAATGGTGCTGTTGAGTTTGTGCGTGTCTCGCTCACCTTGTGCGGTTCAGTAGGGTTTCTAAACTGTCGTTTGTTATTGCTTTGGACCGCACTGTACCAAAGAAAAGCGTGCTCAACGATCGAAAGATGAAGCAGTTTTCGAGTGGATTCACCACAAGGGAAGTGAACCAACCAATTCAAAGAAATGGCATTCAAAGTGATTGCCACTTGTAGATAAACTGTTGGGAGGGATAGCGATCCCCCAGCGCTGAAAAAAGGGGAATCAATCAATGAGGGGGCGTTCCCACGGTTTGGACAAGAGTGAGTCTGCCCACGCGACTCGCAAATTTCCAATGTTGTAAATTTTTAAATGGTCGTGACTCCAGGTCTGGACAAAACTGTGAAACAATCTGGGTCGTAAGATCCGTCATGGTAACTCAATCGAACGTTTACGATTACATCCGCAAACCACGGCGGGAAGTGCAATAGAAGGGCAGGGGAACGAATCATTTTTGGGGCAAAAGCGTTTCAAAAATCGAAAAGAAACTCTCTCACCGTACGGAAACCAGAGTCAACTCCACGCTCGAACAAACAGAACTACTAGGAAAACTACACCAGACAAAAAATGCATGAACTCGCTACGGTTAGCGAAATGTCATTTTGCTCTGTAATTGGAGGCGAGATTGTAGCCGAATTTGCGATTTTTTGGCAATTAACACTGCAGTGTCCGAAGTGGGGTAGTGCCCAACCATGGACACTGTCTCGCCGAAATACGAGCCGCGTGGGCAGACTCACGTCTTGTCCAAACCGTGGGAACGCCATCTGAGGCCCCAAACCAACGTTTCCTCCACCAACAGGCACTGCTGGCATGCGCCATCGTCGTCGCAACCAATGAACTTCACTCCCTGCTCGGGATTTTGTGGAAATGATAGTGGCGGCCGAGTGAGGGTTGTCCTTGCGATCAGCTAGTATGAAAGAACTGTTAGATGACTGTACTTGAAACGCCGGCGTGGCGAACTGTACGCCGGTTGGCGGTTCGAATTGGTTGGCTGGTTCGATCTGGCTGGGCCGGTCGTGCCGTGGTAGCCTGGGCCATCGCCAGCCTTCCCAAACATGTACTGTAACGCAACACGGGGGCCGAGTTGGATGTCCTTTCGGTTCGGCGCGAGGTCAGCGAGATGGCAAGCAACAAACGACGTTTCTTCATAAATTGCACGCCAATTTGCACCCCGGAACTGCGCATGTAACCAACATATGTTCTGTTTGTATTTTTCTAGAAACAATACAATATGCGGTGTACTTACCCAGGCAGAATCGGGCACCACCAGCTCCAACATCAAATGAGCCACACTCTGAAGAACGACCATACAATACCGTACAGTACAAGTGGTACAAAATGTAATCATGCCCCGGTCCTCCTGTCCGTTACGATGGTGGCTGGGAGCCACGCGTGGAGCATAGGGATTTTGCCGCGAGGCGCAAGCGCCACACTCAAACTGAAAGACAGAGCGCTGGGTGACTCCCGCCCAGTGACCTGAGAAGTAGACCACAATTGCAGAAACAAGTACGTGTACAGTAAGAAGATTTACAGGAAGTTGAGGTCAGGCAGGGTTTATGCAAGAGAGTCTCATAAGTGCCAAGACGTGGTGTGATGTGAAAATGGTCGAAGTTTCTGAGAAACAAAAAGTTCACAAGTTTACGACCGCCCAAATTTCTCCGCATATCTCGAAGCTAGATGTTCCCCCCTTTGATGAGCTGTGAAGCTCGCTAGCGTCCATCTTGAATGACCGCCGATATCAATACGTGTACTGTGTCTAAACATACAGTACACGTACAGAGCAAAGTTCAAAACTGGTCAATTATGTACACTTAGCCCGCGCTATTTTCACGCCCTGCAACTTGTTTCGGCAAGCACCCTGAACCCGATTTTGGCTTTTACCAGTAAACTCCCAGAATTTGAAGGCTACAAACCACTCAGCCAAGTGTCGAGATATTAAAAAAAAACCGCACTCTTACCACGGCGACTCGACCATAGTTTATTGTGACCCGTTTTTAATCCCCTCTAACTCGTCAGAAATGTCTGAAACGTACCCACTTTAAAACGAAAGCATTCGAAACAGTCCTTTAATATCGGGTAAATCAGAAATAATTACACAGGGGGATGAAAATGGCCCTAGTGAATTTGGCGCGGGCTAGGTGTACTGTATGAGCTTCGTCGCGGAAGCAGGAAAATTTTGGGGGCCAGTGATCAGACGGGGCATATCGTGGTTCCTTTGTCCTTTTACCCAACTTGGTCCTGGAATAGAGCTCTCAATGTGTTTTGGGGCACCCTGCCAGAAACGAGTCTTGGCGCACCTTCTCCCTGCCACTGCAGCGTGCCAAGCGCAGCATACTCAGGAAATGGCAGGGTTCTTCGTTATTACTTGTTAGAGTTTGCGGGATATAAATCTCGCTAACGCTGAGCTACCGTGCTTGAGGTTCTTGAGGTATACCTCATCACCAAAAAGTGTGGGTCCGAAATACAGCTACGCTAAACAATTCGAAACAAGTTTCGACTTTAAAGTTTTGAGCTCTTCACAAAACGACCGACAAATAACCGATTCGTTCTTCCCCAGAATCGAACCCCATACCTTTCGTATGTCACACGCAACACAAAACACTGCGCTACGGATGTTGCAAACCAAATGTTTTCAGCCAATATTTCCGTCGTTCTGTTTCCTATTCTACCTGCTCAAATGTTAGGTCTTGCTCAAATGTTAGATATGAGAGTATTAGTTAGTCGACCCCTCTTATCCTAGCGATCTACGCTCTTCTCCTAATATTATATTTTAACACTCCTGATTTTCAACCAATCTTTCTCCCTATCTTTCCCCTTTGCAGGGTTGCATGATCGGCAGCAAATGGATACAATGTTAAAGGTAATATTTAATATTCGTTTTGTTGTTTCCTTTAAACATGCACTCAGTTTGCTGGTTGTTCTCTTATGATTTTATCTAACCCTCCTATTCTTTTATCTATCTTCTCCGCACATGTTGAGCGATTGTCACCAAATGTATACAGGTTTTAAGGTATTGTTAAGCTTCCGTTTGCTGTTCTCATTAAGAACGCATCCAATCTGCTCGTTCTGATTCAGATTTAACGGTTAGTTTATTAAAATCGTCGAACCATGTCATGGTGTGTGTTAGTGGCTGCTGCTAAGGCGCGCGACGGACTCTGCTACGTCGGGGGCTGCTAAGGGACGCGGCAGCTGCTGCAAAGGGTCATGACGAGCGGTGCAAAGGGACGCGACGGACTTTGTAAGTGAAGGCTAATGCCCGTTAGAGCCCCTCCCGGTTGCCTTGTGAAGGGGGTCTGTAAGCTAAACCAACATTTCGCGTGGGGTTCGTACGTTTCGTTAGGCTTTATGCGTGCTTCAAAGCTGAACATGGTAACCACTCGATTTGTCCGATTCGCAACAGTAATGGTTGGCCCTATTTGTCCCTGATGTGTGTTACATGTAACTTCACGAATGTGAGAACAATGAAACAAGCAGCATCATCAAATGTTCCTCTTACCGTAATTTCCCGGCAAGAAGACCCCCCTGCGTACAACCCCCTGGGTCCTTTTTCCAGACCAGGGGTCTTTTATTATGTCATTCCTGTAGAGGACCCGTCTTTTGACCCTATTTAATGTAATAATGAGTGCAACGTGCTATAATGAGTGGTGTTTAGTTCATGAGTTGGTTAGCGAGTCACTAAAAAAACCACCAAATTCACTGTCAGACGAATTTGTGGTCAAGGGAGTCAAGATGCCGCATCAATCACGCGTTTTGCCGCCCTTCAGACAAGAATTGCTTACGTGCATGTCATTATTCGGCATTACGGAACGTGCGGATAGGAATCAGCGAGACTCGAGTGCGAGAATCTGAGATCAAATTTCCGTGCTGTGAAGGAATTCAAAATTCAGTACAGAAATTTTCGAATTTCTTCAACACAGCACTCCACACTATCTATTTTTTGGTAATTAATAGTTGTCCAGGGGTCTTATTGTCAGAATCCCAGTCACTAACCACTGGGATAAAAGGGCTTGTTTGTGTAGCGGGTGAGTGCGCCCATAACCCCCCAGGCCAACATGCCTGTAACCCTTCCCTAGGATCATCGGGGATCTCCAGTGGACCTCTGACACCCCCCCGCACTGGGATGCCCGAGGTGCACACACCGGGATTCGAACCCGAGACCTTCGCTCTGATAACATGTCAGAATCCCAGTCACTAACCACTGGGATAAAAGGGCTTGTTTGTGTAGCGGGTGAGTGCGCCCATAACCCCCCAGGCCAACATGCCTGTAACCCTTCCCTAGGATCATCGGGGATCTCCAGTGGACCTCTGACACTTATGTACTATATGCCATCACAGAAGACCCCATAACCCATTTTTGGCACATTTGGGATAAGACCTCCGGATCTTCTAACCGGGAAATGACGGTAGTTCAAAACAACCAAAACACCAATCACAACCAATCAGCTTCTCCCACATGGCCCCCAGCTCCAATCCACACAAACATCGAAACACGCACAAATGGGCACAAGGAGTGAACACTTGTGCCCAGCAAAGTGCCTTCGACGCCTTGCATGGTGTGCCACTCCATACTCCTCGCCTCATAACACGCCGAATCCCCACTCGAGCTGCCAGCTTAAAAAAGTGTCGGTCCAAAATGCAGCCAGCTAGCTCC